GCCATATTGAACCTTTTTTGTAAATAGACAAAAATTAAAATATCTCCTAAAGTAATAATTTTTTTACATAAATAGGTTAATACTTTTTTGTAAATAATATGAAAGAGCATCAGATGATGCAATAAAAAATATATGATTCCATTTAAAAAAAAACATTAATGACCTTCATATGTCCTTGACACGTCCACCTAAAAAAAAAAGTACAATCAGTATGAGCCCTTTTTAATGCCATTCAATTCCATGTGAAACATTGTCTGCTACGCGTAATAATAAAAACGTAAATCAAGGTGGTAAAATGTGGTGACCCATCCTGTATATAATGTCCGTATTACTACATTGACCGTAACATATATACGTAAAAGTAATCAACATAGAAATACTTTAATAATAAATTATCATTAAAGATATATACGGTGCTTATGAGAAGAATTTCGTGTGTTCTTTTATGTTTTGTCATTAAAAGAAAGAAAAAAAAAATAAAATGAAAAAAGATATAACTATGAAAGGATTGAATTTTGAGGGGAAAGAAAGCAGCAAAAAAAGAACGTCGAAACAACGTGAATAAAGACAGTACTTTATTTTTATATATCTCTCCCGACAGTTCATTATTTCATGAAATGTTCGATAATAAATATATTCTTGAGGCATCGTAGTGGGTTCCACTGGTGTGCATATCCACGCGCAACCTGCTTTAAAACTTCGGCAACGATCGATCCACGATCGTTTGTACGTTTTTTTTTCTTTTTCTGATTATTCTTTTTTATAGTTTATTTTTTTATTTTGTTTTTATTTATTTTTTTTTATTTTTATTTTTATTACTATTTATTTTCTACTAACGCACGGAAAATCGCGCCCAAATTCCGTCGCTCGCAACAAACTCCTAAAAGAGAGCGGATATCAACTCGCCATTTTTACGAAAAGGTTAATCCCTTCGTTTAGGAAAAGTATGTTTCGATCCATCGATCTTCGTTTGATAATCTTCTTTACTCTCAGCTGTTCTTTACACACGGCTATTTCTAAAATAGTTTCCAAAAATTTATAACCGTATTCTATGTCCCGATAGAACAAACAAAAATATTGTATAAACTAAAATTTTTACTTAGACTTTTAATAAATACGTCTACATATCAGATAGTTATAAATTTTCACGTTTAAATTCTGACCAGGTGAAAAAATATTGAAATAAAAAAATAAAAAAGAAAGAAATTATATTAAAATATAAACCAATTGAACTTGATCAATTTCTATAATGTAAATAAATACAAATCGACAAAACAATTTATTGATAGTATTATTCTATAGAATTGAAAATAATTGCAATAGAAATGCATAGATACATCATTAATAAGTTATAAAATGTTGAAACAAATAAAATAATCGATTATTAATTATTTTAAACATTTATTATAAGATAGAAAATACGTTGAGAAATTTTCCGAAACTATTTTAAAATATCTAACCTTTATTTAATTATATATGTCGTCCAATTTTCACTCACAATCAGTTTCCTTCACTTTTTCATTCTCTCTCTCTCTCTTTCTCTCTCTCTCCCTTTCTCTCTTTTTCGCTCTCCTTTTCTTTCACACGCAGATACAAACACACGTACATGCTCCGTCACTTTTTTCATATATTTCTAAGCCAACTAGATATCATCCCAATCCCGTATTACAGCGAAACCTTCTTTCAAGTTTCTTCTTTTTTTATATCTTTGACTAAAGTAAAGAAGGAAAAGGCAATCTTGTACGAAGGAGCATAAAGTTGGGAGCGATCAGGATAAGTGATTAAATCCTCTAACGACTTTGATACCATCTCCTGTCCTTCCTTTCTTATTTTCTTTTCTTATTTTCTTTTCTTTCTTTTATTTTTTGTTCTCTTGTTATCATTAAATAGATCTACGTGTTCTCTTTTTTTCTTACACATACACACGCACACGCGCACGCAGCGAACGCACAAGCCAAAGGTACTCGAAATCGAGAAAGCAATATACGAGGCTTCTCTAATTTTTTGTTGTAACGTTTAGAATCCATTCGATTTTCTTTTTATATATATTCATTCATTTTCTTTTTTTTTTTTAAATTATAAAAAACAATAAGTTTCATGCTAATTGAAAACGATATTATTTACGATATTTGTCTTTTAGAAAACAAAACAAATCATCCTTGCACAGGTTCAAGATAATAGCCTAATTGATAAATTCTTAATGTTTTATATGATCGATATTTAATGATAAGTCTGTTAAACGTTTATAGAAGGAGAAAAGGTAAGTACAGAGATAGAAAGAAAAAAAAACAGTAAGTACTTTACGGCGCCTTTCATTTTATAATCGCCACGTTCTATACTCAATGAATCATCCTCTCGACGTTAAGAGGCAATTAATTGAAGTGAAACGATTTAATAGATTGTTCCTCTTCAAAGAACGATTTCCTTTCAAGTAAAAAGAAATCCTAATTGTCATATACTTTCCATCAAATCGTTTAACGAGCTCGCTATTCATTTAAATATTCTATACGAACCTTTTGCTTCTATTTAACTCTTTTATATTGGTAATAAAAATTGACTAATTTTGTCCTTAAACATGATGTTAAAATGATCTATTCTTAAAACTCGCGTTTAATTATAAGATTTGATAACATCACCATGCAAACCCGCGTGAATTGATAAAGACAAAGCTTGTATATAGTATAATTAAAGTAGAATAGTTTGGATCGATCGATTTTAATCGTTATCACAAGTAGCTACAGTTAATTATTTGATGTGC